CCACAACCTGGTCCGGAAGGCGGGCGCATGTGGTCAAAGCGGGGGAAACGGCCGCGCCCAACAACCCTTGCCGGAGCCAAACTGTCCATTGAAGGTATAGACCCCTTGCATACCTTCTTCTAGCAGCTGTCCTTCAAACATGGGTAGACACGCGCGTCATTTAAAGTACAGGTGTTCAAAATGTAAAACACTGATATGGAGAATGAAAAGTGAATATGATAGGTAAAAGCGTTAAACAAATCCAAATTAACCAATCCAATTGGCTATGCACGGAGTTTTGGTCCGCGCTTTTAAGTGCTATTTGACAGAGCACTATAAATAGCTACGATCGAAAATCTCAGAGGGAAAAAGTGTAAAACACAGCAAAGTGTCAATTTATGGCAATTGAACTTTAATTCTACGATTGACACAATAAGCGAATCAGAGTGCGTCAAAAATTTCAACCGCGCACCAAAGTACCGCAAAGATCCCAAGGTCAGGATGCACAGGACTGGTAGTGGCCACAGGCCAATCAAGCGTCCAGAATTCCTTCGGTGATGTGCTCACGAGTGTGTGTCAAGCTCTGCGATTGATTGGTTTCTCTTTCTATCTGCAAACAGAGAGGAAGAGAGACTTCACTTCTAGCCGTGTCGGCGAGAGACTTTTACTGTGAAAGCGTTACATATTTCCCGAAAACAATAAAAGCACCTAACATTCTATGTCAGGGAAGACCCCCAACCATCTGGCGTCCAGTACTCTTTTAAAGGCTTGCACGTTTGGCTGCATCAGTTCAGACTGTAGCTTATTCCAATTTTCCGCTACCCTATTGCTAAACAAATGTGCTCGTAGGTTCAGCCTAGAACGCTGTTTCATAAGTTTAAGCTCATAACCACGTGTTCCTTGGTAGGGAGCCCCAGTGAAGAGGGACCCGGGATCTAAACCCAGCAAATGTTTCTTATTCTTAAATACTTCAATGAGGTCTCCGCGCAATCTCCTTTTTCTAGCGGAAAAAGACAGAGCGCGTACAACCTCTCTTTGTATGTTTTACCCCGCATACCCTCTGCCATCCGTGTTGCTAGTCTCTGAACCTTCTCTAGATAGGGTGCGTTCTTTTGTTGTCGAAGCACGACCAAGCATGAACATAGTATTCTAGGTGAGGCTTTACGATGGCTTTGTAGATGGGTATAAATACGTCTGATTCCCTACAAGAAACTGCTGACGTTAGTCGAAACAGCTGTCGCCTAGCCATGTGTGCTGCAGCTTCACATTGGGTACTCCAAACGTAATCTGCAGTTACGATGACTCCTAGATCCCTGGCACTGATTACAGTGCCTACTTCGGATTGCCCTAGCCTCCGAGAGCCTTCAATCGTTTCCTAGTTCTAGAAAGCAACTGACTCTTTGTTGCATTTAGTGCCAGATCTCATGTGTGGGACCACTTGAACACCCACGTGAACGCCCACTCTCGTGTAGCCGTTGGAAACATAGTGAATGCAGATATTGTTAGTGAGACCACAAGTAGGGAAAAGGCTGAAGTTTTTAAGGGCTTCTTTGAGAAAGTCCACATGAAGGACTTAGGAACGCCGTTACCAGACCTCCTAGGTTGGATCCCCGTCCAACACATGGCTCCATTTGTTTTGGAGACGAGGGAGGTAGAAGCAGCGCTGAAACAGCTGGACCAGAACAAGGCCGCGGGTTCAGATGGGCTGCACCCAGCAATCCTGCGGCTTATTGCTGAAATAATAGCCGGGGCACTGGCTCAGCTTTTTAACCGCTCGCTTGCCTCAGTTACGCTGCTGGCCAACTGGACCACGGCAGAATTGGTGCCAATCCACAAGGGGGGTCAAGGGCGGCTGAATCAAACTACCGGTCAGTAAGCCTGCTCTCGGTAGTCCTAAAAACCTTCGAGCGTCTTCTTAGGGGGAGGCTGGTGGGATATTTGGACGACCAGCACCTCATAGCTGACAAACAGCACGGCTTTATCAACAGAAGGTCGTGCCCCATTAACCTGCTATCTTTTCTGAATGAGGTAACAGATAGGTTGGATGCAGGGGACCGAGTCGAAGTTTGCTACCTTGATTTCAGGAACGCCTGACTCGGTCAACTACAGATTCCTCCTGCGTAAGCTGGAAGCCCTACGAGTGGACCAACAATTAGTGAGGTGGGTGTATTGATTGATCTGTGAAAATCCTTCCTGTAAAGCCCAGTCATTCCATCTCGGTTCCACATTTCGTGAATTTTACGTTCCATTCCCCAAACACCATCCGCCTCACATACATATAGACATTTGACGTTCCACTCTCCTTGTATATTTGCACATTAATCCTACCATTTGACTTTGTTTGTTTATCTGCTTCAATTTTTATCCTACTGGTTTTAATCGCGACTTGAGCGCTCACATTTGGCTCGTCCGTGTGCAGCGCGACGGTGAGCGTGCTATTCTTACCCAGGCTCATTTTCTTCCATTCAGATTTGTTGAATTACGCTCACAGTAACACTTGGCTCTTGTTTTCAAGTTGTTTCGAGATCACTTTGAGGTTTGTACAGTTTTATTTGCTTATTCAATCGTTTAATAATGCAGTACCGTNTAGAAATTTGCCGGATCGTTCGTTTTGTTGACGCTTCGGGATCGAATTTCGGCTACGCGTTGCTCGTTGATCTATTTGGGAGTTACAGTGGATACAAGCGTACCTAAACGAGAGGACGTTCCGTGTAATGGTGGAACAGGAAACGTCGGAGACGGCAGCAGTCTGTAGTGGGATACCTCAAGGCTCAGTCCTTGGTCCCATACTATTTGTGCTGTGTCAATGACGTCACCGAGGTATTCCGGTGTCCCGGGTTTCTATTCGCGGACGACCTCAAAGTAGTAGGGAACCCGGCATTGGGGGACTTACAAGATGCCATAGACGGAATTCATGGCTGGGCGGACACATTGGAGCTACCACTCAATGCCAGCAAACGCAGGCACCTGCTGATGAACAGAG